TGTTAACACAATTAAAATGAGTTTTCAACTTAAGGGGTTGAATTTTCCATTAAAAAAAAACAGTAAAGGTGAAATTGCACTCACGAGTTGTCATAAAAAAGCGCCGTCTAACGGTTTTAAAATAAGTAAATTATTATTATTATTATAAATTCTTCTGTTTGCTCTATATGGATTACGGATACTTGGTTTTTAATTTTAGAAATTAACTATATTCAGCTTTAGAATAATGGAAATTTTTAGCACTCGTCACGAGTATGTTCAAATTTTTTGAACACATGTTTTGATTAAACAAAAACTATTCCTACTTTGACTAGTTTTAATGACTAAGTAAAAATTCAATTTTTAGATTATATTATTTATCAATTTAATTTTGTATTAAATAGAAATTTATTATGGATAAGTAGATATAAGAGAGAGACGTTTAATAAATTCACATATATGTCATTAATGTTTCATGTTTTTTATACTCAACAATGTCACAAGTAGGCGTAAATTCAATCCAATCAATATTAAAGTCCAGCGTAACAGCACTAGACGATATTGTGCCATGACCTGATTTATATTTGTGATTTTGAAATCTAGTATGTTGTAGATTTATATATATATATTCGCGCAAAGCCACTCCAAGTGCTATGAACTGATCTGTTGTTCTATCAACTCATTTTCAAAAATTAAATTTAATGCCCAAACAGTCACAAGCAGAGGAAGTTTTTTTTAAGAAGGACAAACTGAACAATAACCCATTGTTTGTTACATTATTTGGGATTGATTCAGCGCATTGAAATGTGAACTTTTCAGTATCAATATTATTAATGAGTTCTGAGATTATATACTTATCTAATATTGGAGTATTTTAACGAGCAGGATGACGATGGATGTTGTAAATAGCCCTTGCTCAGGATTAAACTTTATTAGAGATATATAGGTCAGGGAAACACGGAAATGTCTTCTAAGTACTGCTGTCGTGCTTGGGAAATTCCAATGGATATACTTTTCGGTGCGCTGTTTTGAATCTTTATGCAGTATATATGTTTTCCTATGTAGCAGAGATAACGTGTTTCTTCAGATCTCTAAATGTGACAAGTAGCTAATGTTAAACCAACGAATAGATCATTTCATTACAATATAATATGTACAATAACTTGGATCTTTTTAGCCAACACCAAACTCTGTAGCAGCCGAGCACTTTGAGTTATTGGTTAAGATTATGAGATATGTTTGATATGTCATACTAGCAAGACCAAAGAGCGCAAATCATGTATATGATATGTTTCTCAATCAGTGATCATTAGAACTAACCACTATGAAGTCGAAGTTACCAATACAACTACGTGTACTGTTTGTGTTGGTGAGAGAGTTGTGTTATATAACTGGCATGTTTAACCTTGTCGTTGATAATGTGAAAATTGGAAGTATGTATTAATATTCACGGATAAATAAGCCTATATGACATACTTTATGATTAGGTACGAATTACAAATAAGTTACTGTTTCCTGAAATATAATAACAAATAAGTTACTGTTTCCTGAAATATAATTACAGATAAGTTACTGTTTCCTGAAATATAATAACAAATAAGTTACTGTTTCCTGAAATATAATTACAGATAAGTTACTGTTTCCTGAAATAGAATTACAAATAAATTATTGTTTCCTGAAATATAATTACCCATAAGTTACTGTTTCCTGAAA